CAGTGGTGATAGATGTAGTGGTGCCAAGTGACTGCAACATCAGGAAGAAAGAATATGAGAAGCTGGAGAAGTACCAGGGCCTGAAGGAGGCACTAGAGAGGTTGTAGAAAGTAAAGACCAAAGTCGTGGTAGGAGCACTTGGGGCTATGACTCTTAAGCTGGGAGAATGGCTCCAACAGATCTCAGGAACAACATCAGAGCTCTCTGTCCAGAAGAATGTAGTGCTAGGAACAGTTAAGATACTGTGCAGAACCTTCAAACTTCCCAGCTTCTGGTAAAGGACCCGAGATTGAGGAAGACACATACCACCCATAGGAGTGAGAGGGGATTTTTTTTTTTTTTAATGTGGGGTGTATTTGTACAGGGAAGATTGTGCAGGAAAAATGGCTTCAGATTCTACTTCACAATTTTGGCATAGGGAGTTCATTTACTCTGGTCTACTTTCAGTAAGGCTACTCTTTCAGACTCAGGTCTGAACTTCACTTAGATCTTACAATGGTTCTGGTGTATCTCCTTGATACTGTGCCTTAGAACTGTCCCTGCTTATGTTGATAACTGCTCTAATTCCCTTTCTAGCGAATCTGAAGTTCTAGGGCAATCCTGCTTCCCTCTTTGAAACTTACAAATGGACACCCATCTCATTTCATCAACTTAAGTTTGTCCTTCAGTTAGTTGTAGCCTTCAAGCTTTTTCTTGTAGAAACCTTCATTGAATTAAATTGTCCAATTGCCTTTAACTTGAATGTAATAATCAGATATAATATTACATTATTTTGCTTATTGTTGAGTTTTTCAGCTATTTTTGTAATAATCTTGGCTTCTTCTACGCCACAGTTATGACATGGCTATCTGAACTTTTATGAGATATGAAGACACAATGCTAATTTAGTTTGGATTTCAGTGCAAGAAATGTTTTTCTGAAACAGGATAATGCATTTTATTACATGCTGAAGCAAATTCTAAAGTGGCTAAATATTCAAATAACTTCCTTTCTAGAAGCAAATTAAATACCTTTCTGTATTGCAGTGTTGCAGTATTAAGTGTAAATGTATATTGTACAGAATGGAAAGTATAGCTTATTAATATCCTTTCTCAGGTGCTTACACAATAGTATATGTGGTTGGTCCAAAATGCATATAAATTACTTAGCAATTATTAATATTAATACATATTAATAAAATAACAGTAACATTGAGCACATTGAGAAACTAATTATAATTTCTGAATACAGGCAGTCCCCGGGTTAAGAATGTCTGAGTTAAGGACAACTCATATTTACAAACGGGCTACTTGTTAATAAAAATGGCGGACAGCGTTCTTTTTCCTGGAGCTGACGAACCGCTGAAGCTGCACGCTTTTTATATACAGCCGGTGTTTAGTGGTTTTCAGCGGTTCAGGAAAACATCGCACGGCTTTAGTGGTTTGTTGGCTCCAGGAAGGAGAACCCCATCTTTAGTAACAGGCAGCCTGTTCATAAGTACAAGTTCCAACTTACGTACAAATTCGAGTTAAAGACAGGCTTAGGAACAGAACTTGTTCTTAACCTGGGAACTGTCTATATACAGTATTGTTATTATTGTATTAATTTTTATTGAATTTCTGTTTTCCTATTCAAGGTAACTAATAGCTTCTCAAAACAAATTCTCAAAAATCCCATGAGGACGTTAGCCACTCCATTAGGGAATCTTTGCTGGTCGCTAGCAAAGCTAGCTGTCCTGTCCTCACTGGTCAAGCAATTAGTTCAGTACTCTATTTAATACTGCCTTTACTGATTGGCTGAATCTCTCTGGGATTTCAGATAGAAGTCTTCCAGACCACCACCATCACCCCCCTGCCACCAGCTGTTTGCATCTGTGTTTTATTCAGAAGGCGGAAAGATCTTCCAGGTTCCATTCTTCCCTTTTGTAGGGAGGAGAAGGGGGGGGGGGTGTTAAATATCTTGTACTAGAAACATTATCATTCTCAGCGAGCATTAAAGTAGTGTAAATTTTGCAGATTCAAATGGAGTATGAAAAATAGAAGAAAGATGGAGAAAAAGAAGAAATACCCTCTGTGAATAGTTCTGTCAATATATCTGCCATGCCACCTTAATTTCCTCAATGTTATGCCATGCTGTAGGTGGCTGAAATATTCAGTTCCAAGCATTTATTTGAGAAGCTCTGTATTATGGAATCATTCAGTTTTTGCTTGATAAGTGCTTTTTGTCTGTTGAATGCCTAACCTTCATCTGCTGCATATAAATATTTGCAGGAGCAGTTTGCTAACTGCCCAGTGACATTTGTATCATAGGTCTTCTCTGATGCTTTTTAACCATTTTAAAAATATTGTATGTCAATTGCAGTCCTTCCACTGCCCTTCTCCAAAGAAGATGTCGTTTAAAAAAATGGATCCGAGTTGCACAATAGGATTATATTGTCCCAATGTGCAAGGTTTTGAAAGGGCTTCTGAAGAAATAACTAAGGTAAACTTTTAGATGAGGAAACCAATCTGGTCCTCATTTGTCTCGGTCGTGTTTTACAATATCATTTTTAGATGTACTAATAGAGCTTAAACGACTGTCATAGGGTGGCCAAAAAACCTAAAAAATAACCCCTTCTTAATGGCTTGCTATGATCCCATTATATTGATGCAATTAAAACCTACAAAAGAATTAGAAATGTTTCAAGTAAAGGATTCAGTAACAAGCAGAGTAATTGTAGCAAAAATGAATATAATTGCAGAGCATTCTCTCTTTCTCTTACTGAAATTTAACTGCATTTTAAAGTGTACTTTGAAGTGTCAAGGACCCTGTCCAGGTATAATTCTATTATAACAGAGAATATGAATTGAGAAGATATGCACATAAGGGTTTTATCCAGGTTAAATTATTTCTGATACCATAAGTCAGTTTTCCCCAACATGGTACTGTCTAGATGTCCTGGGGCTGCAACTCTCTGAATTCTGAATGTTGTGGTTCTAGCTAATCTAACAGGTTCCAAATTGGGCAAAACTGGCTTAATTCAATCCTCTTCCCTCACAGTCAAGTGCAGGATTATCCCACCAGGTGGCAGCATTTAAACAAAAATATAGCCGCAGAAAATCCCTTTTCCAGTCATTAACCTGAAGAAGAATATTGTGACAATCAATTCCTAGGGGAGGATTTTAAATGGAAATATTAAATCAAGTAAATTGTGGATTATTTCTCATTAGTAGAAGTGTGTCAGTTACATTTACACTTTAAATATTATTATGCTGTTTTAGCACCATGTTAAATAAAGGTAAGTATATCCTAGATCCACGTAAACATTTGTTTTAGTGCATTTTTGAAAATTAAAATAGTTATACTTAACACATGGAAAGAAAGCTGCTACTCTATACTTAAAATAAAATATTTCATGTTCACTTTGTCCATGCTTGCTGCCATCTATTAATCTTTCATTTTCCTCAAGTTGTCATATATGATTTATTTTGCTCAATTGTAATGGAGACATTTATATGTCACTTTATTGGGATGAAATAAATATTACTTATTAATTAGATTAAATATTAAGAAGCCGAATTGTGTAGGTCAAAATAATATACTATACATTAGTACCTTTAGTATCTCAATCTGATTCATACTTGTCTTTTTAAATCATTTGATAATTCAAATCAGTCTTTTGTCAAACTTTTCCTATATCTTTTGGGGAAAAAAAAGGTAACATGTATGCTTTACCTGTATTATTTTTAACTTTTTTTAAAGAATTTCTTGGGGTGTAGGACGGCAGAGAAAGAGGGCCTACTTAGGGCTGGAAAGTTCATGGATAAGATGATATTTGAATTAGGGACTTTGAAGCTTATAGTTTGCACTTGCAGTTATAAACTCCCTGTAGCTTTCGGATATGAGAATTCTCTCTCTCTGGAAGGGAGCAATATTCAAAATTACTTTTCCTCAGGAAAAAATCTTCATGCTATTTCTAGTTTTCTGGTTTGAGGGTAACATTTTACATACGAATCATTCCAAAATCATTTCTGTGAGAGAAAAATAAGTATATTAGAAGCAAACCGTTGATCAGTAATAGAAAGCTCTACTTTTGTGGGAGTGCTTTAATAAAAGGAAAATTATTTTACAAGTGGCAAAGGATCAGATCTGTATTTATTTTAAGGTAATAGCCACAGCTAGGATCCGTCCCCTTATCCAGGAGGACACATAATTTGCTTCATTTTTAAAAGCAAAGTTCTAGCCTATATATTTTCAATTAAGAGAGAATCAGAAATATATGCATAATGTTTGGAGAATGTTAAAAAAGAGATTATTAAGCTGGGTTTCTACTGGGTAAATGGGTTTCATACTGTCAGTGGCGTATACAGCTGTCATAACCCATTTCTTAAGGGTCATCAGTATAGGGAGAATGAAATATTAGTACAATTATTTCCATCAAAATAGCTACTGTATATGATATCAGAATGAAGTTGCCATAAATTTTCTTTAAACTTAATATTTATAGGATGGAGTAATTAATTGCAGAAAGTAGAAGCCTTGTCTTCTGACTCAGAGGCATGTAATACTGGTATTACTAGACTAAACTAAACTTACATTGTCTTGCTAAGTGATCTGTAATGTGGCACCTATCGTGATCAAAGAGTGAAGAAGTAGTGAGATCCTTTTACTTGGTGGTGGCTGTCAAGTTTCAAGACACCTGTCAATTAATAGGAGGAGTTAGCCAGCCAGCTAATTTCACAGGCTACCAAGCAGGCATCAGAATGCAATGAACTTTTGTTATTGATGGGAGCTGAATTGATCCAGTAGCCAAACAATAAAAAGACTGTATCTAATTATCTTGTCCCTTGAGATCCTTTGCCATGAACTGCCACCTTAAAATTTTCCGTTTCTGATTCTCCTTTTTATTCTTTGCTTTCCACTGATCATTTCTCAATCCTACTTGTTCTTCTGTTTTATGGTATTATCTGAAGGATGTGATTCAAGAAGAGTAGAATAAAGTTTAAAACTACAGAGCATAGTAAAATTTATAGAATCTGATTTTACTGCAAACAATTTTCTAGGAGCTTGTTGGTTCCTTCCAAAACACTCATTCCACCTGAATAGTTATTTAGGATTTTTTTTAGTATGCCAGATGAATGTTGCTATTAATTTTTTTTTCAGATATGGATTTGACCAGTCCCTTATGCACTTTATCTGTACACTAATATAGTTTTATAACATGATATTGAAACCATGCGTGCATTTTAAATGATTAAAATTCTAGCAGCCCCCAAACCTGATGCAGAATAATAAATGTGGGTCAGAACATTGTTAATTCAATTTCACCTTGGCTAAGAAGTCACTAAGTATTAGCTGTTATAGGAGATATTTGTTGACTTTGTTGTTGTTATAAATATGGTTTACAGTGTGCACTTTGCTTGAGGAGAAGCATGAGATGAAACATTTATTTAAGAAAAAATTAAAAAGAAGATGTTTGGATTGATTTTGTATTTTGCTTCAAACCAATATGTGCATATTCTTGGCATTAAGAGCAGTATAGTTTTGGTCTCCTAATCCATGTTCTTTTTTCCAATACATTTCACTGCAGATTCTGCAGTCCTCATCTAAGGAGAAGTATCCTTTGTTTACCTTTGTAAATGGACATTCTAGAGACTATGATTTTGTGGTGAGTCCAGTCCAGGAAGAGATGGCAAAGTTCCCTGAAGATGAACAGAAAAAGTTGGAATGTTTTAGTAATGAAGACTTTGTTTTGCTATGAGGATATTTTTATTTATTCATTTAAAGTTTTATGTCCAGTCTTCACAGAATCTACAAAATGACTTAACTAAAAGCTAAAAGCAACATATAAAACTTAATTGAGAATAATTAATAAAAACATGTGGCAATAAAGCAGTAGACTACCAAGGACTATCACCAGTGATCAGTTTTCCAAAACCTGTTTTCTGAATCCCAGCAAAAGGGACCCTAAAAAAGGAGTTTAAGACTAGGCACCACTGCCCAGTAATCTTTGCTTTGCAGAACCATACACAGCACTTCAGTTGGGAAGTGACACAGAGTGGGCACTCTAATGGTGACTCAAGTCAAGCCTGCAAGATAATGATCATCAATTCTTCCAGCAGTGAATTCCAGGTGCTGGAGATATTAAGCCCAGATTGACCTGAAGTCTGTGTTTTATCAGTCTAGGTTAAAAAAAAAAAAAAAAAGTAAGATGGGGGAAATTGGAGCAGAAGAAAAAGGAATTTCTCATATGATCAACATAAAGCAACATCACATGGAGCAACATTTTTTAATTTAAATGTTTTGTTTATCAATGTAACAATTCATAAAGAAATTATCTTTAATTGATTAAACTATAAGGTTTAAAAAGCATCTAATGGCATATAACTAGTAAGAACAGACTTGCAATCAATATGTCAAAAAGCCTAGGAAATAGCAATTCTTTTCCTGGTGTTTAAAAGAACAAACTAAGGTGGACCCAGAACCTGTAGTGTCAAAGGCTAATTAATAATTTGTGGAAGATGAAAAAGGACAATCAGTGTTGAAGGCCTACAGATGCTTAGGCACATCTGCACAATTCATTCATCATAGTAGTCAGATTTAGCCCATTCTAAGCATAGTTCATAAATTGTACAGTATCTTGCATACATTTGGTTTCTGCACCAGACTTCTTTGACCAGAGCCATCACACAATAGAAAAAAAAAGGGTTAAGCCTTATATGTATAGCAACAGATATGCCTCCTGGCCCTTGTGCATTAGTAAGTCAAGATCCTCAAGGCCTTCTGACACCTGTTAGGCCAACTGGCTTAGGGATACATGTCAATGAGTTTGTAGTTCTGAACTGTCATACCTACTGTAATGCAGCTCTAATCCCATAGCTCCATTTATAATAAGTACACACTGATATAGCCATTACATAGTATTGCTCTGCAGATCTACATTGAGCTTGAAGCAATACACTCACTGTAGATAATATCTTGGGGACCTTCTGCCCTAAGTGCACTTTGGTAAAAAAAATCTGCTAGGATGATAATTTTAGCTAACAACATGTAGCATTTAGATGTATCATAAAGTGACTACTATGGTATCGTATAATCCACCTGCTCCAATGGATTCAGAGAAATAGCAGTGTTTGAGCAGAAATGATGTTGCCTTGAATATCCATGGGCAAATTCTATTAAACATTTATGTTCTCAGAGAATCAAGAGTTGGTCTTAAAGCATATTTTTAAATGTATAACGCAACTTTTTTTATTTGATAGTAGACATATACAGTATAATGGCATGTGATAAAAGGATACCAAGCTTATTGAAATATGGTTAAATGTTGATATGTTAGGCTCATTCTCTCATATATTTCTAGGCTTTTCTGCAATTTCTGTTTTGAATTCAATTCTTAGCAGTGAATAGGTTCACTCCAATGTGATTGTCTTTCTATCGAGGTACATTTTTTATTTGTTTTTTGATAATCCCTGATAAGAGAGAACCTATGATTGAAGTGCTCCAAGCACCATGGGCGGTTAAACAGACCCTCACTTAACTAACTTAAGCCAGACAAAGGAATTGGGTGGTTTGGTGAGCTTGTAAGAGAGTGTACAGTTGGTTGGAAACCAGTACCTAGAATGTTGTCTTGTTACAACCTAGGCCTGATGTGGAACAAGAATCAGGGAATCAAAATATTAGTGTTGTTTTGTGTCAATCCCTATAATGTTTAATGATGTAATCATGGCCTTCCAATTCCAGGGTGTGTATTGTGCTCAGATGTATTTTTACTTTTTACCAGTGATGCTTATGTAATTGTGTAAGCTGAGCAGTGAGTTAAGGTTGCTATTTAGCAATATGATCTTATAATGACTACTCATTAGGGTTGTAGTTGAATTTTAACAGGAAAATTTAATGCAATATTGGCTCCCTCCTCCCATTTTGCTACTATGAAACTATAGCCTATAATATTAGATACAAACAACGGTTAGATAGGAGATCTATTTAATCTCTTTTACTGTCAAGTGCAATTTGGGTATCTATACTCTTAACATCAAAGTTCTTAAATATAAACCTATAACTGTAGAGTGAGACACCAGCAGCAGACATATAGGTATATCACAATATGGGTTTGTAACATTTTATAGGTCTATGTGTCTCTAGAAGGAGAGCCAGTTTGGTCTAGTGGTTAAGGCTCCAGTCTAGAAACCAGGAGTCTGTGAGTTTAACAATTCATAAAGAAATTAT